CCCAACACAAAGATCCCCCGTGTAGCCTTAACCGACTGTTGGGGCAAGTGCACAAAGACACACACGGCGCCCATGCCAGGCCAAGTGCACTCCGAGACCACGTGAAGTATCGAAGGCTCGCTGACAGGTTACGGGACAGACTCAGGTGCCATGGGTTGACTGAGATGACTGACTGGTAGAGGCACCAGATGTGCCCCCTACTGCGCCAACTTGCTATATTCTATCCGCCCGGCGCTGCGCTCGTTGTTGTAAGCGTCGCTCCTCCGCCCTCCATTGTTGTTGGATGACCATTGCCTCCAACTGCCCAACAGCATTCTTCGCAAGCCTCCTTCAGATGCCATCTTGACACCGCTGATAGTGGCCTTCGGCAAGTCCACTCAGCTCTACATCATCCCGTAACGTATCAGCTCCATCTTTTCTCCAGCTTGTGTCGTGCCCGTTTAGCCCCCCCTCTATCCAGTCAAACAGAAGCTGCTTGGGCTGGGCATGCAATGGCTGGCCATGCGGGCTACATGACCCATCCATACAAAGATTCCCCGTATATCCTGAACAGACTGTTGGGGATAGGTGATGTTCGCGAGCCATACGCTCACACACACGCGCGCACGCACTCACGCTTAATTGATGGAAGAGCCAAATTTATTACTCCCCTTGTGATGCATGGCAGCAGTGACATTTTACACGCGACGCAATTGATTTGTACAAGTACAGTGTAATATATATTAAGCTTTTAGGCATTAACATGCAGTGCCCTGTGGCCAACCACACATCTATACAAACGTTCATCCGCAACCGACACCTCCACGCGAATCGACTGCACTGCCAAGACCACCGCGGCTCTGGGGAGATGCGATTGTACACACACAATATGACCAACCCCACGCCGCCGTGCCACCCACACACACACCCCACCAAAGAGGCAGGAGTTAAAACACCAACCACCACGGAATACATTACACGGGCACGCACGCACGCCACTGAAACAGTCGAAAGCAATGGCACAGTAAAAGACATCTCACGGTGTGCGCGATGGGATTTTATAGTCGGACATATATAAGTAGCACATGTATATGCACCGTACGTACGCAAATAATACACCAAAAGCAGATACAGCTTTCCAAAATGTGCTAATTATTAAGGCCAGGGTCGTCCATAGGGGGTGGGGGGGGGGGGACCCAGGGCAAATCCCACTGTGGGCCCCCTGACGCCTGCAAACTAAATCGGAAGTATTACATCATCTGACGCCATGACGTCGAAGCACGCCCCCCCCCCCCCCCCCAAAGAGCGGGGCCCAGGGCAGTCGCCCCGATTCGCCATTACCCAAGGGACGGCTCTAGTGAAGACACTCACTGAACCGGGAACTGAGGTTTTGCGACCTTTCCGATCATTCGACCGCGAGCAATTTAGCGTATGTATTTTAAAATATACTATTGCTTTTGGATCTACAGCTTCCGGTTTTTTTTGTTTTTGTATCTTACACGCGCCGTATCGCATTTCACACTCTTGCCGACGCATTCTGAACCACAGCGTTAAATGAGCAAATGCAATTAAACTGCAGTCGCGGATAAAATTGCTAAAATATAGCGCGACGGCTGATATATAGTGCGGGTGTTCACAAAGGCTTACAAATAACATCCAGTATATTTGTTATCAACATCAAATGGTGTGGTACCGCAGCATGATTAATTAACAAAAAAACACCATAGGGACCTGGAGAGGTGTCGACATGTCAATTTATACGACAGCTGTAAGAAATGTGTTTAACTGGTTAGTCATGACATGTGCTCAACAAAAAATGGGGGGGGGGGGGGGGAGGAAATAATAATATAAGATCCATCCCCTGTAAGATTGTGTTGCATTTATAACCGCGAACCGCACATAAATAATCTACCGCTTTCACGCACGAATTCAATGCACCACTAAAAATGTCACAGCCAAAAGATACGGGTCAATCCAAAGCAGATTTTTTTTTTTTAAATTTGAAACTCAATAAAAAACAAAAGTATAACTTAACGGCGCTAACAACTCAGGACTGACAACTCACAACGTGGACAGGTAATCCTATGAATTCTATGACGAATATATTTGCCTGACAGGATAGGGGATATAGATATTAAGAGGGAGGGGGGGGGGGGCTGGAAACGTAAACAATAAATAAACGTTCAATGATTACAAAACAAATCAAGAACAACAATTCACGAGTCCCGCACGAGGCATCGGAGCCCCCGCCGCTCAGTTTTTTGTTTGTTTGCGAGCATTTCGCAGGAGACTCGACAGCCGCATCGTGAGATGCGTGCTCGCGCGCTTCACGGCTCGAAGCTGCGGCTGAACAAGTGTACATTGCGCGCCAGACTCGGGGGGGGGGGGGGGTTGGTGGTAGTAATGCACCACAGCAGCAGCAGCGAAAGCGACCGCCTTCAATGCGAACCGTCGCACGTCCCCGCAGCGTGCCTGCGACGTCGCGTTCGCATCGCCCAGTGGTCGGGTTCAAGCGAAGCGTTGCAGCTTTCACCAATACTGCTGTGCCCACCACCCTCGACCCCGTTAGGAGGGTTGACCCCGCATGCAAGCGGGCCGATTAATGATCTCGGACGTGGAATGGTAGAAATCGTGCAATGGGTTTCCAGTTCAGCAGGAGGAATGACTCCACTCTATTCAAATAGAGAAACCAAATCATCTATTTCTCATGACTGTTCCAAGTGTATTAATACGTATCAAAAAAAGATGTATAAATTAGGGTTTGAACGATGTGGTGGTTCATCAACTCATCACAATTATTAAACAAAAGATATATGCGTAATCGTAGAAATCGGTTTTCCATTCATATGTGCTGTATATAACGGGTTCATGTCATACCATTCACAACATGAAATGGATTCGTGAATTGAATTGCAACAAGTCTTCCGTAGCTGGGATGATTAAATAGATGCATTTATTAAGCGCCGTGGGCAAATAATTTTTGTCGAAGTTCATTAACCGTCATGTACGACAAATCATACCCAGCACAATTGCGACGTGAAGACATCACCAATTGTGTTTCGTGCTTTCTGACTGGCCGAGTGATCGCCTCGACAATCGGTAGCATAACCGATTCCTTAATTGATCGGATAGACCTGCTCTAAATTCTTTGCATGGCGCGGCGAGCGAGTCAATTCACCTCTAGTGCAAGTACAGTACAGTAAAACCTTGGATTGCGAGCATAATTCGTTCCGGAAACGTGTTTGTAATCTAAAGCACTCGCATATCAAAGCACTCATATATCAGTTGTGATCACGTGATGCTCGGCAGACAAAGCGTATACGTACTACTCGTATTGCAAGACCTCGCTCGTTTATCAAATTAAAATTTACTTGAAATGTTTGTTCGTCTTGCAAAACACTCGCAGACCAAGTTACTTGCAATCCAAGGTTTTACTGTATATATATCCTGGTCGAAAGTGGGATGCATTCTTCAAGGGGGGCAATGATGATTGATTTTTCCAAACTTACCGCTGCTCAAATAAACAACTCCTCAAGCAGTACAGAGACAAGTGGAAACCCCAGAGATTGTGATGAAATGTCATTTCCGACGTCATCTTAAATAGGGTGCGAGGTTGGCGGATTGACTGCAACAGGTACAAGCCATTCGGTTCTAACGTCGCCACAGCTGAAGCATTCAACGTTAAAACCACTGCCTTTTAATTATACCGCAGGCTTCCTTAAAGAATTTCGGACCTTGCGATTTTAAGCAAGGCCTTAAACCGATGTATGTTGAACTTCTTTCGCACCGTACGTAGCCAACCGTGCTGATCCGAAATGCTCAGCGACTTGGGCTCGTGTGTGTGTGTTTCGATTGCGTAACGAAATCACGCGGAACGCGCCCGATGTCAGATCTCTGAATCTAAGAGAGCAGGAGTTCGGCCCGGATAGTGCTTACAGCATGGGCGACCAACGTGCACCGTGACAAGAGGCGAGGCTACAGTTGAAGGCGGAAGCAGAGCGGCACCATCAACGCAGCGACATTGCAAACCCTCTCTCCTACCTTCGCTAAACCGCAACTGACCAGCCGGGTGATGTATGGTGAGAAAAAAAAACGTCAGGTATGGCAGTAGCTTTGGCTCAGATAAGCAAAGGCTGAGGTACCCATAACAAATATAAAATTTGAGCATTTAATAAAGAAACGGAAACAAAAAATGGTATGTGGAACCATGAACGCAAACGAAAGGGAAAGGCATGAAATCGACGTGGCAGTGTGCGAAGGGACAAATTGTTAAGTGTAGAAAAAAAGGTCCTTGTACACTTTGTGTGTGGTGGTCTGAGTCAAGTGATCGATGTTGCCGCTCTGTGGTTTACGACTGCAGTTCCAGTCAAAGAGCTCTTTGCTGTCTCTGGTGTAGACCAATCAGTTTCAAAGGCAATACAAGGATGTTTTGTTTGCATGTTTTGCCACAAGTACGTGTAGTTAATGCAGACACGATGCCTTGCAATAGGTGTGCCTTTTTGGTGTCTGGACATCTTAACACATCCTGTTTTATTGCCAGAAAGGGAAAAGCCTATTCAGCAGATACTGCCAAAAAGGGTCCCCATAGCCATCTTCCTTTCTGTTTACCCACACATCCTTGTTTCATCGTATGGAACCGTATCATGCCGGGGTAAGATAACCTGTAAATAGTAGGTATCCGTGGGCTTGGGGGGGGGGGGGGGGCTAGTGGCAGGGTAGAGGAAGCAGAGAGGGGGGGGGCTTAGTAGCGTCTGAGTCAATAGGCATCGGCCCGTAACAGAGCACGCGGCATGCGCACACGTACTTGCCCGCAGATGCTTTCTACCATCCGGCAATGCTCCGCGTCCGATCATCGTTCATTCGCGACGCGTAGCTGCTGCTGCCTCTGCTGCCTCTGCTGCCTCTGCTGCCTCTGCTGCCTCTGCTGCCTCTGCTGCCTCTGCTGCCTCTGCTGCCTCTGCTGCCTCTGCTGCCTCTGCTGCCTCTGCTGCCTCTGCTGCCTCTGCTGCCTCTGCTGCCTCTGCTGCCTCTGCTGCCTCTGCTGCCTCTGCTGCCTCTGCTGCCTCTGCTGCCTCTGCTGCCTCTGCTGCCTCTGCTGCCTCTGCTGCCTCTGCTGCCTCTGCTGCCTCTGCTGCTGCTGCTGCCGCGCCTCCGGTCCACAGAACAACGCAGGGCGGTTTTCTGAACTCGCGTGGTGTGCCCGCGTGAATCCAATTCACCTCGTCCGGGTCCTCCGGTCACGTCTATTCGCGCGCAAACTCGCACACGGGCATGTCGTGGCTCCCTCGCGTGGCCTCGGTTCTGCGCGATGAGCGTGTTTCATGAGGATCGGACTCAACCGGCGTAGGAGGAACCGAGTTGAAAAACCCCGCGTGACCCGCGCGTCTCTCAGCGCAGAATGTACGAACACCGCAGTGGTGTTGCTTCCTTTCCCACGTTGTTCAATCTGTGCTATGCACACTTTGTACGCGTACCGTGCGAGTGCAGTGGATTTGGTGAGGGGCCTGGAAGAGCGCGGAAAGCAAAGGTCGGTGTTTGAGATTTCCCCAACTGACAGATGGAGCACGTGCTTAGTTGCAACCCATGCGTAAACACAACGCAAGCAAACGCACAGCACAAACCCGTATTCGTATGTCATTACATCTATCGAGGGTAGCCTACATCCGCAAGGACACAACGTTACGACGTATTTGTCAGGAGCGCTTTGGAACATCTTACGATTGGTCACCGCTCAGACTGGCGACATTTGTGCAGATTCATAGCAACTTAAAAGTTTTGTTCTTTAAATGATGCGCATTCACTAAATGTACTTTGAGTAAACATGGTTTTCAGTGGAGAAAAGACACACAAAGTGTACCCGTTTCACAACCGCGCCCGACAGCGCCGCACAAACTACGCCGCCCTTCCCACTCGCTAACCTACGCACCCTCACGGCGTACACCCACGTGAACACACACGCGTGTGTGTGCACGCGTGCACGCGTGCACGAGGATGGTGGTGACGGCTGTGCACGATACTCATCAGGATCCCACAACCTATTTGTATTCTAAACAGAAAAGCCAACACGGGGTGAGCAATTGGGAGCGATGGCATCTCCTACGACCCACCGCTTTCACGATTAGAAATGCGAATCGCACACACGTGTACGCACGTACACACACACGCGAAGCCAACACAGCGGGTTTTACCTGCACACTCGTGCGAGCCTACGGCCAAACACATTACACGATGTAGCCTATAGGCTGCAATGTTAAGGATGTTATTGGCACTGTCACCCAACGTACGGCACAGTTTACGGCACAGCACGGCGCACACGAGCCCCACGCGAATCTTTTTTACTCGGGGGCTTAATACGCGTGTAATAGAGCGCTACGGACTAGACCTCAAACGACATGGTGACGGCAGCCACGGATGCTTTTGAGTGGATGGGCTTGGGCAGGGCGAAAGGGAAGGATGGACTGTGCTGGATGCTGTGGACGTGAGGAAGGAGAAACGTAGGGGCCACCATTGCAGAAGTAGACGGGACGACGCGTGGCTTCCGCGTGCGAATTTAGATGCCATCTTGCTGACTGGAGGTCCTTTAAAACACTGCAGGCACTAACAACGCCGTCGATCGATTCCATCGCCGATATTAACCTGGTCAGGGCACGGCGAGACCGACTGCCCCCGGTTTTTGTGCAGGGCAACCCTGACTAAGATAATAAACCAGGAACGGCGGGGTTCACGCCGGGGCCGCGTGGTCCCAACGTGCCGGCACGCGCCAACGTTGGGGCGACGCGGTGCGGCACGTCGCGCGTTCGCGACTGGAACAATAAAAATTGTCGCAGCAACTCGGGGCTCTGCCCCCCCCCCCCCCTTTGCTCCGCCGACTGGCCGCCGGCTCGCGTAACGTTCACTTAACGTCCCCGAGTTAAACCTCGGAGGTACGCGGCAGCGGGGTTAACTTAACGCGCCCCGCCACGTCACGTAAGCGAGGCTTAAGCGTTGCGTTAAGTGATCCGCGGTGAGCCCACCCAAACGTGGAACCGCGATCACACCTTCCCGCCTGCAAGGCTACCACCGGGAGAGAGTGATACTCGCGCCCGTCAGCAAGATGGGCACCCTACTTGACGCAAAAACACACCGCCACGTCATCTCATCATCTCCTGCACCTGCAGCAGGGGATGCAGGTGCAACCCCGGTGGGGCGGGGGGGGGTGTGGGGGATGGGGGCCCTACGGCCGATTCTGCTCCTGCAAGTCGGACACGTTGCGACGGACGCGAGCCCCCGTCAGCTCCGGCTCGGCACTGGCGCCCGCGGCGGCGTGCGCCAGCGTCGGGCTGGATCGCGCCTTCCGCATGGCAGTGCCCTCGCCGTCCGGGGCGACAGCGGGGCACGAGGGCGACCCCACGGCCGCCTCCAGCAAGTAGAGGTCGTCCGAGCCCAGCTTCATCTTCGCGCGCAGCAGAGTCACGTAGGTGCCGTAGCGCGTTTTCTGCGGCAGGGAGCAGTCGCGGGTACAGTCACGAGTTTGTGTGTCGCACGGTAATATTTACGTCTCCCCCTTTTACGCGTTTGTCGCAAACACGTCGTCACTTTGTTACTGCCCTGGCGATAACCCGGACTTATGTAATCATTTGTTTACATTTCGTCACTTGACTATTTTGCACTTCTATCGTTTCGTTGTGTTGTTTGCTGTTGTAACTTGCTAACCACCTGCCCATACTGGACATCCGTGATTAAAAGAGCTTCATAGCCCATTGGATTTCTCCCACAGTATAAATAGAGAATTCTGATCCTGACGTCGTTGACAGAATCGTCCGCCATTTTCTCATCATCCGTCGTCTCTCAGCCTTCGCCTCCACCACCCACGACCACTACCCTGTGCGTCGCTTCTTTGATTGACGTCGTTTCGATGTTCGATGTTCGTCGTCGCACCTCCCAGGAATGCATCCCCGACATAAACCGTGGGGCATTACTGCATAACAATCTGCGACGTGCATCTGATTGTCTATTAACAGTTGGCCAACTGTCCATACCTGTCAACCCCTTATCAGTGCCTACCCTATTACAGACCAATTCAGACCTTATTGGTCACCCCGTGCCCTTATAAATCTCAACGTTCATCCTACAAAATCCCATCACAAGGGAGAAACACAAACAAATAGACCAACCTTATTTTTTTTGCCCGTATTGAAACGGCTGTATGCCGTATGGACCTGAAAACTCAATTTCCCTGCACAAGAATACGGGTAAACCGTATGGGCTGACAGCTATGGATATCGCACACAATTTGCATCAAAAGCATTGAATGTAGCTGCTGCCCCAAAGTATTGGAAACACTCAGTGTCGTCTCTTCCAATCGCTATTCTGTCATCTCTGTCCTCGTTTAATCCGCCTATTAAAATCACCAAAGTTTAAGTGTGAATGTAATTTGACAACACAATTTATATTATTAAGTTTGCTTGTTTTTTCATCCGTAATTGCGCAATGCTTTGATGTTGTCTGCCGGCCGAGTCGGCCTTCGAAAAAGAGCTTATTAGCTCTACGGGCTTTACTGCGGAAATACAATTCCGATTCTTACGCACAAATACCCGATGCGAAATACAAAAACATATTTATCTCACTGCTGCCATTTTTCACTGAACGATCTCATGCTGTGCTTATTTGAAATAAATTTAGAGGTAAAGGTGCAGCCCTGAAATGTCTTGCTCGTGCCGCTGCTCGCTAAAGGGGACTCCGCTCGAGGAAGGTCAAAGGTACGAGGAAGAGGCAGGAGCACCCACACTCTACCCCACCGCACGCGACCGGCCGATGGGCTAACTGCGATTTACCAAAATATATTTCTGGGTGGACAGAGGCACCACGCGCGCGTGTGTATAGTTTACTCACTGCCGCTTTTTCACTGAACATTTAACGTGTTCATCTATTAAGTTTAATTGTTCTTTTTCGATTTAAAGCTTTCGTGACTGCAGGGATTCATATTCTTGGTTCTTTCGGTAAAGTCACGTAGAAGGGAAATAATAAAATTAAAATAAAACAATAAAATTCTCACGACGTTTCGATTGCAACACCAGCAATCATCATCAGGTGTAAAAACCACAGCAAGAACATTTTTTTTTTAAGTGGCGGTTTTATCTAAAAAGTGGCTTTTTTTTCTAAACCGTCACTTTAAAAAAAAATCTTGCTGTGGTTTTGACACCTGATGATGATTGCTTGTGTTGCAATTGAAACGTCATGAGAATTTTTTTTTTATTTGTATTATTTTATTATTTCCCTTCTACGTGACTTTACCGAAAGAACCAATAATATTAATTGTTCTTGTTTATCTGGCTGGGTGGCGATGTGGTCAGATTGTGAGTCTCACAGTTAGAAGTTGGCGAGTTTAAATCTCGGATCAGGGGTCAACTCAGCCCATCATCTCTCCGAGATTGACATAATAGGCACCAGTTTGTGTCACGTTAACAGCGGTTGTCCTAAACATCGATTAGCCAAAATAGTGGATTCCCACCACTAGGTTCAGGCTGTAGTGAGAGAGGACTGCTCTGGTTTGGAACCAATGGAAGTGTTTAACCAGTCGAGGGATTAATAAAAATAACATCGACTGTAAAGCTTGGTGTGAACACAGCTGAATAGTAGCGAGTGCTTTCACCGCAATTTATTTGAATTAAATTCATAACGAATAGTGAGCGACGGCGTTTCCAACACAACAGCCAATTCTAGATAACGACGTCACGTTTTCTCGTGTCCCCCTTTTCAGCGCAAATCAACTGATGGTTAATTTACTCCAAAAATGACTGGTCCAGCAGAAACATATACTCGGCAGTGAAACGTCAAAGCCAACGCTATTTTACATTTAGCACAATAATGTAATTTACCGAAAGTAAATGTACTCGTCTATTCCAATGCCATTTGCGAGAGAATAAATCTCAAGAAATAATACAATTGCCGATTTAGTATGTGTTTAATTACCGTGCACTCAAGATGTATTTAAATCTCCAAAGAGTTTATTAATTATTTTGTCTATCGCCAGCAAAACCAACCCACGACGTTAAAAATAAATCCGAGGATGGATTGAACGAAGATTGCAACACGGAAGCCACCGCCTTCCAAAAAAAAAAATCAATTGCCCCGCAGCCTAACCCCATCAACGCTCGCGCGGAGCGACAGACACAGCTACGGATTGTGAAGGATTCAATACTGAGCCCCTGCAATCCACCCCGAGCGAAATGCGCGCGTGCAACAGCAAGAGCATTTGTCTCGCGGAAACATGCAAGCAAAGCGTTTACTCTTCTGCAATGTCCTTTGGTCGTTCCGAAACGTGCGGGAGGCAGAATAAAGATAACAGCAAAGTCAGCCCGGGTCAATCCTGTAAATTGTGCAGGAATGTGCAATCACTGGGTTCCCATCGAGGAGGAGGAGAAATAACTCAACGGCATTTGAATGAGCTGAGTAACTTGCTGCTTGATCACAATGGAATTGTCCTCCTTCGGAGGCCACTCCTGGCTTTGTTGTACATTGTGGGGCAGCCAGAGATTGTGGCAGCTTGGGGAGGACTTCATCCGGCAGTGGATTAACTATGGCAGAGAGTGGTGATGGTGACTGGCTTTGTGTACTCTAATTGATGCACTGTTTTTACAGTTGTCCCCCAATTACAACTGCCTACACACGTTTTTATCCATTCTATCAATCTTCCATCCGACTAACTTTTGAATATTGGCACTTATAATCGTCAAAAATGAGTTAATTGGAATCCTGGTAAATCAGGGGTCGGAAACGCCAGGGCTCTGGGCCCGATGTGGCCCATTACATTATTTCATACGACCTGCGGCTACACGATGCAGACCACTTCATAAAAACAGCCTGCAATACAATATTTATCCATCACTGCAACAAGCACCTCAGCTGCACTAATTGGGTACTGGAGTGAAATATGATGACTATTGTAGCACCGTTCTCTAATTTTAGCACGCTCAATAAAGGCGACCCCTAATTATTTTGTATAAGGCTAAGGTTCATGTTAATGAGTGGCCCTAGCCAAAGGTATTTGAGAGTCCTATTCTTTCCTCATTAAGGAAACAGATCCCCCACTCCTACAGGAAACAATGCTGTGGCATTGGAAGTAGCGATGGGTGAGCGGAAAGGAAGAGGGAAGAGAGTGGAGATGTATGTGGAACTTCTTTCGCACCGTACGTAGCCAACCGTGCTAATCGGAGGTGCGGGGAAAGGACAAGCTAAACACAAAAAGCAGTTCTGAAGAAATTAGTTTGTCAATCTAGATGATTTAAAAGTGCACAACTCCAGTGGCTTCCTAATATTGGAAGGAAGAGCATTCCAGATGACCGTGAAACAGTATCTGAAAGCGCGATGCGCTGACCATCTTCATTCGATGGATGAGCCATAAGCTGCCGCTACTGTGAAATGCAAATGTGATCGGCTGAGTCACCTCGAACTCGAGGTAGTGCTGCTTGAGACGGTAGTCATCGGCCTCCTTGGCACGCACGCGACGCGGGTCAGGTGGGTAGGAGCGATGCTGGTCCAGGTCAGAGGTCACGCCCTTAAGCTTGTCCTCATGTGAGCGAAGCTGCTCCTCCTGGCATCCCGTGTGCGCGCATGCATGCCCGAGAGAGAGGAAGAGAGTGAGATTTAAAGAGCCACGCACGCATAGAGTTCCACCAAGGCTCACTCCATAAAACAACGCACCGTCGAACGCTTTGGCAATAGCGCGCGTGACATACATGTGTGAGAAAAGATTAGTTGGACCGCCCAATTAACCGCTTCCTTCCCCTTCATTCCCCATCACCCCGATTCACCCCAAGTGCGCACGCTTTTCCAGAGAGGCACATTCATCACTGTTAGGAAGGCAGGACTAGGAGGTCAAGGTTGCAGACAGGACTTGAGAGTGAGCGTGTGCGTGTGTGTTCGTGTGTATTCAACAGACGTTTGACGGTTTGGTGGGCAGTGGCGAATAAAGGGAGGCTGACGCACCAAGGGGCGGGTCTCGGGTTAAGCTATTGACCACATGTGGGGACCGCGCAGAGTGGATGTGGCTTGGGGACTTGATTAAGGTAGCAGAAGGACCGCAATGTCAACCGGGCAGATTTGCGGCGGTGGCAGGCGGCACCGCATCGGATAAACCATTATTAGAGCGAGCAGCAGCCACCAAAGCCAACCAGTGGCATGTGTTAAGGGAAATTAACTGCACTGACAGGAGCTCCGCAGTTCCCGGAGCCGGTCGATATTCAGTGTTCCTAACGGAAGTAACGTCGCACCTGGAGGTGACGTGCGTTAACGAGGTTAGTCAACGTGCTGGGTGGCTCCTGCCGGGACAGGAAACCGTAATGAGGAGGGGGGCACGCCAAGGGAATGTTGCTTAAAAGCGTTCCTGCGGTACTGCTCGATGACCCTCCATGAATCTGATCAAATGGTTGTATGCACTGTATGTTGAACTTATTTCACAGCGTACGTAGCGCATCGTGCTAATCGGAGGTGAGAGAGGAAGATCAAACGAAACAGAAAAAGCAGTTCTAAATAAATTAGTTTTCAATCTAGATTTAATCATGCTTAACGCATTTAACACGGTAGGATTTGCGTAGCCAATATCATGATTAATTATAGATTTTTTTTCGGTTAGGCCAAAAACCCAAGAATCAATAAAAAAATTAAATGAGAAAGAATTATAATTTTAATTGATATAGTGTCTAAATATTATTGGAATATTATGGTTGCCACGCACAGCCTTGCATCATGCATGCATGATGAACTTCTTTCTCACCGTACGTAGCCAACCGCGCTAATCAGAGACACGCGGAATGGACAACAAACTAACCACAACAAGCAGTTGTATAAAAATTACATTTCAATCTAGATTTTAAAGTGCACAGCTCCGGTGGCTTCCTAATTATCGGAAGAGCGTTCCAGACGGCCGCAGAAGGCGCATCTGAAAGCGCGCGATGCGGTGACCACCGTCTTCGTTGGATGGTTAAGCCAAAAGCCGCTGCAGCAGCAAGGCTCACCGGAGTTCGCGTGACGGTTCATGCTTCTCGACGAGCTCAGCAAGGCATTTGGGTCCGTGCTCTGCAACCAAATGACTTAACAAAATAATGTAACGGAGAAAGTCCGATGGACCAAGCCCAAGCATCGCTGCGCAAGCGTTTCAAGCGCGGCCAGGCCGATTGGCCGGGTGAGTTCACCTGCGGCAGCTTGGTGGCAGACGCCGGCAGCAGCGGTCGGCTGAAGCGCTTCTGGGATCCGATGGCCGCCGGGAATGGCGGAGCCGAGAAGAGGGTGGCCACCAGATTTATGCGCGTGATCCACGACTCCATCTCTTGGGTGTTCCTGCGAGCGCAAGGAAACGGATCGCATGGGCACACGCATGCACACAACGGCAACATCACGGTACCACTCGTATTTGCTTTCCACCCAGTTTTTTTTTATGGTAGGTTACACACATGCCACCGGTACCACTGTAGACACACTTGCTTCACGGTGGTGTTAACTACCTCGCCTGGTATACAGGAAATCCTGGGTTCGATCCCAACTCTGACCCCTGCATATTTGGAGTTTGCGTGTCTCTCTCCCCGTGGTCGCGTGGATTTCGCGCCTGGTCCTCCGGTTTAGGTATGGTCAAATGACTCCCACGACCCGCACGGTGTGGGGAGGCCCTCGTTCGGCAGTGGGTGAACAAAAGGACTGTGCATGTACCACAATGGCACGAGCCTCTGAGATGTACGGGTTACTGAACCTCAGTTTGTGTCTCTTGCAGTGGAGACTGTTGGCCACTATCTCCCATGAGCCCTCCACACGTATCTTGAATCTCTGCACACCAATCAAACTTGACTTGATTCATGTTTTCCACCTCCCATGAACCACCACGATCAAGCAACCAAACAGTCCGAGACTGTCCTTGGATGCCAATATGTTGTCGGTGATAGATTACTTGGCTTCTGGAGGGGAGAGTAGGTTATACTTTGTTTTATCCATAGTTCTTAATTTAATCCAGAGAGATTAATTACCTCCATTATACAGAACTGAAACATCGTGTTAATCCTAAAGCAATAATTATTTATTACTTGCAGTTATTTTATTGCTAGATTTTGTTGTTACTTGGCATAATTTGTATTTTTGTTTAATTTCATATTCTGCGCCTCTGTTCTACATACTTATTATAAATATCACTAGGGTTCTTCCTCGCAGAATAAACTTAATCTCACACTGCGCTACCAAACAGAAGTGCAGATGGAAGTGAAAGCAAGGTGTAGTGGTATCAACAGCATTTGCTGCGATGACTCAGTTTTATTAAGCAGAGCTAAACCTTAATAATAGATGTCTGAAGGAGATGAGAGCTAGGATTGCTGTGGGAAAGTGGTATGTTAGCAAAAACAGTGCTGTTGATATGTTGGCTAAGCCGGGAATTGAATAGCAGCCTTGTAAAGACTCTAGTTGGGAATGTGGTGTTATGATGAGCAGAGACAGAAGCTGAGAAAGTAATACATTAGAAGGCTGGAGAGGCTTGAGATACGGGTTAGCTTTGAAAGGACATAAATGGTAACTCACCAGCGGCAAGTGGAGAAACAAATGACTTGTAAAAATTCGGGGGTGGAAAAAATCTGGATGGGGCACAGCGTCACGGGGGATGGCTCGCCAAAGCATACTGGAAGGATTCTGGGAAAAAGCTGAAAACTAAAGGCACCGGACTTTACGACTCGGAAGGGGTGCAATGGTGAAAAATTAAGGGGGCAGCCGTAAGATCGGACAGGATGGAGGGAACCCGAGCTGCAAAACCCGCACATCCGATTAGCACGGTTGGTTACGTACGGCGCGAAAGAAGCTCAGCATACATCACACGGGCATGCCCTCGAATCTCAAGACAGCAAGGGCACACCGGCGGCCTGGCGGCCCGGCCGCCTCGGCACGGCGACGAGGCCGCCACGTGCGAGGGATCACTCACGGGGCCTGCAGGAGGAAGACGCGCCAGTCGGCCGTCTTCAGCTTGAGCACGTGCGGCCGCTTGGTGTAGTCGGTGGCGCGCGTGGCCAGGGCGTGGTGCACGCTCACCGCCTGCTTCGCGTCGTCGTCGGACACCGGCGTGTCCGCCTTGTGCTCGTCCTTGGCCAACGACAAATCGCCCATTGCATTTCAGTTGGGGGGGAGGAGGGTTAGCGATCCGCAGCAATCATCGACGCGCCACCACCCACCACCTTCACCGGTCAACTGATGCCCCTGGTCACTCACCGTGGTCTCGTGAGTTCTCTCACCTGGATAAGCAAAATCAACTTGAAACTTCGAACACTGCCATTCCCCAAACACCACCACCACCACCACCACGATTCAGAGTCACGATGTAGAAGGTGATGATTTTAATTCGCACTTTACAATTAAAGTTGCAAGCGTTAATGTGTTAGCTACGTCCGTCTGTGCCGTCTCCCCGCAACAGAAGGGGCCACGATAACTCTCGTAAAAGATGATCAGAACGTGTTTGTTTGCATGTTCACCACAGGTTCGTGTGGTTAATGCAGACTTGATGCCTTGAAAAAGGTGTATGTTTAGTGTTTGAACATCTTACCACTTCTAGATTTGAAGTTTTCGTGACTGCAATGATCCATACTCTATGGTTCTTTCGGTAAAGTCACATACCTACGTGACTTTACAGAAATAACCAAAGAGTATCTTACCATATTCTTGGTTCTTTTATGTGACTTTACCGAAAGAACCAAGAATATGAAGCACTGCAGTCACGAAAGCTTTAAATCAGTATCTTACCACTTGTTTTATTGCCAGAAAGGGCAAAACCTATTCTTATTTTTCATCAAACTGAGCTTAATAGTCAAAATGAAATTATTAATCAATGCATTACTAAACCTATAGTGCCCAGCTGGGAGAGCTTCACACGGTGTTATTTCATGCCATTTCCAAGTTGCCTTTTTGAGCCTTATCTGGTAAATGAAATAAAAAGTTGAAATAGTTAATCGGGCGGTGTGTTGTTTGGCGTCGCAGGAACGAGGGATATCAGGAACACATCCGAGGGGTCGAGGTGGACAACGCTTTAACTGCGACGCTCGGCTCGCCACCAAGACGTGGCCACGCGGTAGCGCTCTCGCCGCTTGTTGCAGAAGTTCGTGGTTCAAATCCGGCGGCCACCCCGGGTAAGACCGCCGGTGTAAAAACGGTTTAAGAAAGAGATAACGCTGGGCGCCGTCTGCTTCACAGCGGACGTTAAGCGTCACGTGACCTTTTTTCCCATGAGTAGGCCATTACGTGCTGACGTCATGGTCACAAATTACTCAAATGGGATTATACATTGCGAGTATCCCCCCCCCCCCCCCCACACACATACGCCCCCTCCACCTACTGACAGACCACAGACTGAGGGAAATTGTCGATGCCAATTTATGTGGTTTCCTCCCCAAATGAGTAGATCGATGGAATGGTCCCCCCACTGAGTGAGTAAAATGTCCTGATGTTCCTGATAAAGAAACCTACTTCCTGCACAGAAAAAAATGTAAATACGTATTACGTCCTTGCAGGGAATCATGGGTAACATATAAAACAGAACACATGCCTTCGCTTTGTATATGAGAATACGTTTTACAATTTCTGGCAATAAAAAAAACAGGTGTTACGATGTTACGTCTGATTCCTTGAAAAAGGTTTCTGTTTGGTGTTTTAACATCCAAACAACTATTTTATTGGCAGAAAGGGTGAAACCTATTCTTATATTCTGATACGCGGCAAGGAAGGTCCCATGATCCATCTCTTTGCATACACTTTTTTAATTCCATCGGAAGGCATGCAGGCTGATGAGATTAAAAGATGTTTTTTTTTACATACAAAGAGATGGACTTTTGTCCTCATGTTATTGATTGTCCAGCGAGCGGGTATTCCTATGCTTACCGTGACTCCATCTTTGCTTCATCCAACAAACAACCCACCATCAAAGCGGTTGATATTAACAGGCACGTACCACCATGCCTGGTAGAAAGGGCATTATATATATGGGTACTGTCTATATACGGATAGCTGTCAGCTGTGGCACTTCAACATCTTCATCTATCGAGTGATACGCTCCGATGGTTTTTAGTGTGGGGAGGATGGCCTACACCTGGATCTGTGCGAGACACGCGAGATAATTTTCCACAGCCGTAACAATGTACCACGGACTTCTGTGCAGCTGGGGGTATTTGAGTGGGACAGACCGACTGCTTGTTCGTTGTAATATCTGCGTTGCATTAACTGACACACAGGCAACGAACAAAGGCAGCCAATATTAAAAATAGTTTTAAATATATATATATTTTTACCAGCCTCATCATTTACTGGTGAGTCACTGAAACGTTATCCTACCTTATTATTACAGCTTGTTTAAGTAGTTGTTTAGAATCAGTAAATAGATGGTTTAAAGCAGTTTATTTATTTTAGCGCATTGTGTAGATGTCACGCGTTCACTGTGCTCGACGGGAGAACTCTCCGCTGTATCACGTTACACGCTCTAACACCAGGTAGCAGCTGCGACCCGGGACTTTGGCGGTAAGAGTTGGTGGGTCACGCAGAGATCTGTGGAACTCCATGGTGCTACACGAAGGCTGTTCGACAGCAATTTAGTTCACGAACCCATCTGTGCTGACCTGTTCGGTGTTATCTCCTCGAATGGTTGAGTGTTCTCCAGTTTCCTCTCACATGCAAGGCACTCGTTTAAAACGAGAACCAGCCAAACATCCCAATGCAGGACCGTGCTTTGTTATTACCGTGCTTTGTTCGCGCAATTACAGAAAACGTATGACCCCATTTTTTCCCTTTTTGTTTGAAGGCCATGGTTTAGCAGCGGCACTTGGATTCATGCTGTGTTTTTGTTTGTTTGTATGAGCACAACCACAGGGTTAATACACACTCAGGCGACAATCAACCAAATTATAGCTTCGGGCATGAGCCTTGTTGGAATGCTGCCAAGCACACCAATCATGTGACCTGTCACGGCTGATGTGGCCATAATAACAATGACGTTGATAAGCGGATTACCGTAGTTGGTCATACATTATTTATGACGCAGAGTTGCTGTTGATGCTGGTCACAGTATGGACAGACGTCTTCATGTTGTAAAATAAAACACAATGGTGGCGATGATGATAATTTAACGGAGAAACGATGCATCAATTCTTAAACTCACGACGCATGCGTCGAATCGATGGTTTTTAACTCGCGTACAATTTACGTGACGAGGTTCATGTAACCACTCCAGCCACTAGAGGCCGCTACATCCACCACGATGTAAAAAAAAAGAATCATAAACCCTAAATCTTGACGATTCATGGAATTGCAGGGTATATCATCACACCCCTAACAACTGGAGTTATGTGTTTGAGCTACCCATGAAGGGTATCCACAGGGTCGAGCACCACAACTATTTTCAGGCGGGTTGAACTATGGGAAGTTTGCTCAATTTCGGATGAATGTTTGCGTGTGTGAGAGAGACAATGATAGACGAACCCACGGATTAAAGGAGCCAGCAACGTACTTCCTGTACTGCTATTAGCCACCTCGTATTGATGATGATCGTGATAACCAGGAGCGTAATGATGATGCATTGATTGACATTGATTCTTAAGTGCAAGATGCGTGGATCGAGAATTGCGCGCGTGAGAATCCACATTTGTCTCATCTGTGAACTGTCCAGCCTCTAGACGCCGCAACGTTCGCCGTGGTTTGAAAATAAGAATTGATTCCCTCGATCGTGATAATTAATCACATCGCCCGATAGAAGCCGAGCCTTAGCGACGACGATGGTGGACGTGGTGGCAGGAAGTGACTGCCACGGTCGCGATTATGATTTGTAATCGGCTGCATGGCTGTTCCGATGATGTTGTAGCACCTAATTAACCCTTTCTCGTTTCTGAGACGTCTCCAAGTAGCAGAATGGGGGTCCCGTTCACCGCTGAATCCCGGAACGCGTGAGTGGTTTGCGTACATTTTATTTAGAGAGGCGTAGCGCAGCTGTTTTTAAAAAGACATTGTACTCACTGCAGAGAACCGTAGCGACACGACCGCCACTCTATGATAGCTGGCGCCAAACTGTGCCACACGCCCTCCCGCATGGCCTTGTGGGAGCCTCGGTAAGTCTTCTGAACTGAAGACGTCCCGACAAAGTGATTTTACTTTAGTTTTTATTCCAACTGGGTAAGGGTTAAGCATCTATGTCGAGAAGCACATTTCATAAGAGATGTGAGCTTTTACTAACAATACCTGATGATGATGGATTTCATTTCCAGAAAAAACGTCGTACAATACGTTGCTCGCTTTTCAAAGTGAACGGTTTGCTGAAAAACAAAAATCAATCGGCACGGTTTCCCACAAGATCTGTTGGGCTTTGGCGGGTGCTGGGAGAGGATTATGGCTCCGAATGACATAATACCTACGTGATATACCTCAAGAGAAATGAACTGCGAATCGTTATGCTGGTCGCGAAAAGCCTACGTGTGGAATTAGGTGGCGATGGTGGTGACTGTGCGAGCGATGTCACGAACCTTCTGCAAATAGAGGATCATCCCCTTGAGCACTGCGTGGAAAGATTTCCACCCTCGCTTGCCAAGCGGCGCTGGAACGGCACACACACGCAACACAAACGTCAGGAGAGAGGCACGGCCTTCGCCGGTAGAGAAGCCCCGAAGAAAAACGTTCTCCCCTGTATCTCCTCCATTGGGTGATGCCCCAGCAGAATCTGGCAACACACAGCGTCGACTATCCGCCCTGACGAATTAACCACCCACATCCAGTGCAGTAACACACCCATATGTTATATATATATTCACATCCAACCTTTTCACATGTCTGCCTATATCTCAGTCGGATATGCGACATTGTACTGCAGCAACAACAATAATAATCAGCAAAACATTTTTTTCTTGCTGTGGATTTCCCACCTGATGATGATTTCTTGTTGCAATAGAAACGTCGTGATTTATACCTACGTGACTTTACCGGAAAAACCAAAGAGCAATAATTAAAGTGTCCGTCATTTCTCCAGTAAAATCTCAGCGAGTAACAGGACTTTTTGAGCAGGTTCCTACATTTGGGATGCTTGGCTAATTGCCTTTGAATGTGCTCGTTATCATCCGAACTCGAAGGCGAAGCAAGTTTGAACCTGATCGGCAGATGAATGATCATCCGGGCTTGCCAGGCGTTGTAAGGCATGGGACTACAAGGAGGCAAGGAGATGGAGGAGTTAAACGACATCCCCTCATATGTATGGGGATTTTTTCCGGGCAATCCGATTTCCTCCCACATTGAGCCAATAATGAACAGAATTTGGGCAAATATACCCAACCTCAGAAGGGCCCTCTTGAAATATAATCTGAGTCTCTGGGGTAAATAACTTGACTATTATATACTGAAAGAAGAATAACATTCACGATGTTCCGCATGCGGGAGGAATAACGGGAGAAACCCCATGAATTTGAAGTAGCACTCAAGGCTCCACACGAATAGATTCAAAAAGCCATCAGTGCACTCCCTTCTGCTTAGACACTTAGGAGGCAAAGCCTATGCAAAGCCGAAATATTCCTAGGCTGTATCCCATCCAAGTACTAACCAGGCTCCAACCTGCTTTGACTTCTGAGATCTTACAAGAGTGGGTTATACTCTGACGGTGCGGCCGATGGCAGGACGATACAGAGACGACCAACATGGAGTCCACTTGTACTCGGAAATTTCAACCGTAAGCGATACGACTGTCGAAAATGCTCACGGTGTTTCTTGTCACTTAGGAACACCGGCCTAAGGAAACATTATTGGAATAGCTGTACATATTACGCTGACAACTAGGGGGGAAGCGGGGGGGGGGGGGGGAAGGGCTCGAGCCGACAATATTTTAAGTTCGGCGGAAATGCCATTGCTGCGCAAAGCCAGTAAAAAGCAACTAGACTACAGAAAACAAGGTCAGTTACAGCATTGGCAGCAAGATGGAATGGCCTATGGCAGAGCCACCCTGACTTGGGGCAGCCCACGTTGCGTGTGTCATAAATAACAGTGGGGAGAGCGTATGGTCATAATTCATCCTGGCTAGCTGAGTGTAAATGGGGCAATTCTGGCTAATATTGATCAACGTTAGCTAATTTGTAGATAGGGTACTCTATTACCCTCAACTTTAGAGACAGTTACGATAATTAATCAGCCGCATCTGCTCCCAGACGCATATATTATTTTTCCATCTCTCCACGCTCAATAAAACCGCTGATGGAGCTTAAAAGAGATTGATAAACATTGAAAGCCAATAATAATAATAACTGGAAAAATCCGGTTGGCTGCGTATGGTGCGAAAGAAGCTCAACAAACGTATAATATACGTATGTAAATGATAGCTACCATTTCCTGACGGTGAAATTGGCATGGGCATCAACTCCATCGCATAATCAGGGCCATTGCCGAGGGTCATTAGGCACGGAAATCGAAAAAACAAACAGACTCTCCAAGCGGTCGTGTGCACGCATGATAATTTGTTGAAAGCTTTTCGTAGTTAAAATCTTAACAACAGAAGCAATCCAATTTGCTTCAAAGTGCTTTGCCGCGATACAGAATGGCTGCTGAAACTACGTCAAGTCCCGCTGCTGCTGCTGCTGCTTCACCTGGCTAAATAGCACAGGCACCGAGGCTTAACGTGGTTGGGGGTAACTGTAAATTGGAGAAGAGATGCATCGTGAAGTGCGCTCATTGCTTCCCGGTGATATATTTCCAATGGAGCATTGCCCCTCCCCTCCCCAGCAGTGGGAGGCAGCGAGAGGCAAAAGCGCACCAAGCAGCTTAAGGCCCCAAACCCTGCCAAATTCGTGAGAAAAAAATACTGTGGGACATGTCAAATGTCAGATCAAATCTCAATCTTAATAAAACGCAACAAGTGAATTAACAAGCCAAAATCATCTCACTCATCTCCATCTGGCCTGCATCTCTTATCCTCTCGTCTCGCCGAGGTTTTTATTTACATTTCTCTCGTATCACGGCATCATTATCTCAACCGCGTACTCTTCTGAAATCTCGTGGGGATTTAATGCTACGAAATATAGAAAAACACTGGAAAAAAACCCACGCCCTGCAGCTACGCGGACGCGAGCGAACGGCAGCCGTGATTGCTCGCCGAGCTGCCGCGCAACGGAAAGCAGAAGTGTTTGTGACTCGCAGCTTTCAGAGGTTCTGTTTTCACGGCTCTACCTCCCAGTGCGCATGCACGGTCCCGTCATTTTGTCTCATTAGGGGCTTTGTATTGTTTGGACTCCCCTCGAGCCTCCCTCCCCCCCTCTGTAGCAATTGCCGCCAACTTCTCGAGGTGTAACATTTAGAAGCAATCTCCTCCCACGATCGCCGTCGCTCCGCTACGATCGCCGTCGCTCCGCTACGATCGCCGTCTCTCCGCTACGATCGCCATCTCTCCACTACGATCGCCATCGCTCCCGCTACGATCGACATCTCTCCTCTACGATCGACATCTCTCCTCTACGATCGCCGTCGCTCCGCTACGATCGCCGTCTCTCCGCTACGATCGACATCTCTCCACTACGATCGCCATCTCTCCGCTACGATCGACATCTCTCCGCTACGATCACCGTCGCTCCGCTACGATTGCCGTCTCTCCGCTACAATCGCCGTCTCTCCGCTACGATCGCCGTCGCTCCGCTACGATCGCCGTCTCTCCGCTACGATCGCCGTCGCTCCGCTACGATCGCCGTCTCTCCGCTACGATCGCCGTCGCTCCGCTACGATCGCCGTCTCTCCGCTACGATCGCCGTCTCTCCGCTACGATCGCCATCGCTCCCGCTACGATCTCCATCGCTCCCGCTACGATCACCTCTTCGCTCTTCGCAGCTTACTCGGTGGGGGGAGCGTGGGAGAGGAAAAGTGGCACTGGCACAAAATGTTGACGGAAAAACATCGCACTTCGCGACAAACTTCCAGGGCGGCACGGAAGCGGCTCATGGGTAATCTCGCCAAGCGTGTTTCACGGTCACATCTGCAAATTAAATATATTGAAGAATTGTAACTGGCGATGATAATCACAACTGCAAAATGGCCCGTACGATGATTGTGGTTTTGACATGGTACCACATATCGGCATGGCTCGTTGTTGGAAGGTAGCAAGTTTAAATCAAAGTTGTGGGTTCACTCAGCCCATCATTCCTCCGGGGTCGATAAAATAATTACCAATGTGTGAGGAAGACAAGAATGATTGTTCATAGGAATGCGGAGTTTTCACCACTGCCTCAGTGCTGTAAACAGGAGATGAATACGTCACTGCGATGCCCATATGAGCAGGCAATCAGTTGGTCACGTTTATATTAACTGGCGGTATCACGCTACTGCGGCAATCCTCGTGCGTGTATCTGTGTGCGCGTGTGTGCGCATGTGTGTGCGCGTGTGTGTGTGTTACATATGTAAACATGATCGTAAATGGTGAGGGGTGGTAGTGTAGCGGTTAGCGGTTTGTGCCACGAACCCGGCGACCCGCGTTCGATTCCCGCTCACGGTCAACACCAGTGACGATTATCTGAACCGGTCCTGGGCCTCCCCTAGGTCGACTCAGCCTTAAGCGAGTGCCTGGTGCAGTGTGTAAACATGGCCAGCCCACCCCCACGTGCGCCCTGCCGGCTTTCATCGGTGCCGCTCGTGAACGGCACTCGCCCCGACGATCTCTTACGGGCTACGCGTCGGGGGATCCGTGTCTTTTTTTTATTGCTATCGTGCGAGGCGCTCACTCCTGCGGCCGTCCGCGTCAGCGTGGATCTTGCGCACGAGGACGCCCTGCTTGTACGTCGCCGCGTTGGGGTCGTGGATGATCGGCAGGAAGGGGTTGCTTCCCGTGATCGCCTTGCTCGGAAGGTTCTTGCTGTCCGGAAGCTCCGGGACAGACTTCCGCAGCTCATCTTGGTCTCTGTGGGGCGTGGTGGTCGGTGGTGTGGTAGGGGAGATGGTGGTGGTGGTGATGATGGTGGTGGTGGAGATGGACGTTTCAGTCATAATGGTGGTGGTGATAATGGTGCAGGCGGCGATGGTTGTGATGACATTGAGAGGCGACAGCGGGAAGTGACGGTGGTGGTGATGGTGGTGGTGGTGAGAGTTGAGGTCATGATGATGGCGATGATTATGGTGGGTGACGGTAAAGTTGAGATCACATGGGGGGGGGGGGGATGGTGTGTGGTGTTGTGGACGGTTGTGGCGACAATGGGAGATGTCATGAGTGGTCGTAGGTTGATAAAGAAAGGTAGAGGATATGGACAGGACAAACCATTAAAATACTGTACAGTTACCAAATTTTTGTTGGCAATTGCTTAAAATATAGCTACTGTGGCTTGGTGGGCCACTGAAATGTAACAAATTTGTAATTCACGCCGTTTTTTTTTTTGCTCAATGCTATCACGAAGGTGCTATGTTTCACAGACACAGTCTGTAGTAGTTTGACAGTAGTCCGTCATGCTGCTATGTGTAATACACAAAATCTGCAACAAGGTGAAAGCGCTGCCGCTGGGGCGCATCAACGCCTCTTTGGACCGTGAGCTGGCCTATGGAATTTTTCACCAGATTAATATTAGTCCCATTGCACAGGGATATCAAACAAACACTTTGAACTCAATAAGATGACAACTCAAACCGAATGTTAACTCGCACACATTCACATTTTTTTCGCTCACATTAAACGGATGTTACGCAGAAGAACGTCGTGCTATTGCGAGGAAAACATTTGCTTCGACCGCTGTGTACCCCTGGGACATTCTGGCAAGGTGACTCAGCAGCGAGCAGAGAGCGAACGGCTCGCAATTGGTAGGTCGTGAGTTCAAATCCTGATTGTAAATTGAACAGCCCATGGTCGCTCCGGGATCGACGAAGCGAGCACCGCTTTGTGGGGGGAAGATCAACAGCGGTTGTCGTTGGGACAGACTCACCACCGCCATTGGAATGTCGAATTTTCACCACTTGCTCAGGGCTGCAAACAGGAGATGAGCACAGCCTCCATGATCGTTTGAGATGGAAACCGCTGACATGTTTGAGTAAGCGGTCGCAGGCCTTGCCACGCTTCCATTTGCGTGAGCATCACCACTACATGGGAGGCAACCTTATTGCTTCACTGATGATAATGTACATTAAGTGGTTAGCACGAGAATTTATGACTTCAGGATGAGCCTGCCACATGACTGAATACTGACCAACCTTTGCGCACAATCTTTTTTCGTCAGCCAGAATTCAAATAATTTTATTCCCAGTTGTGTCGTTAAGAAAACTTGAATTGTCCACTTTTTTGAAAAATGTTCAGCTTTAATAATATCATTATAATCTGCATCAACCACTCAAGTCACAATTATCCACACATGTTAAATGGGGTCATCAAAACTTAATAAATTTAAGGTAGGATATAGGCTTACGGCACAGAGGCCATCACTTAAAAAAAAAATTAGCCCGGGGGACACCGCAAAGGAATGTGAAGCCCCTATCGAATGAGAGCACACAACAGGTAGTCTCCAGACTGCCCTCTCATTGCAAGCGGCAGATCCAGCCTGACGGTGCCGAGAGCTCGCTCGGGGCAAAAAATGTCTCGCGCCGTGTCACGCACATCAGCATCCGAAATAAACGTGACGGGCTCTGTGCACAACTACGCTGATGGATGCAATCGACGTGTCAGTCCTGATGTATACAATTACATTTCAATGAATGTACAATATTGGAGAGGATGAGAGAGAATAATTTGGACAACGACGAGCCCCCCCCCCCCCCCCACACACATTGCCGCGGTTCGACGAAAAATGCCGCATCTTCGATCGGATCCCCGTCCCAAGATGCAGATGTCAAGGACGCTGCTCTGCTTGCCACAAAGATTTATTGCAAAGCCGCGATAAATGAACCGCGAGTCTACTGCGAGCATTTTCCACCGCGGCCCAGAAAAGTCGAGAGCGAAAGACAACTGCTTTTAGAACCGTCCGTACGTTCAGATGCACCGGGGTTTTTGGTTGAAAATAAACAGAATAACAACAACAATCTCCCCTCCACAAACATCTCCCCTCAATCTCAGGTACAAGAAGTAATTTCGGAGTGAGAAAATTGCTTTGGCGCACAAAAAAAGCTGCTTTCCATATAACCTCTCTTTGATTCCGCACCAGAGCACGTATATATATAAAAAATAAATCGGGCGGCAATAGTCGGGGGAGAGGGCGGCGGGGGGGGGGGAATAACGTAAGGTTGGGAAAGCAGCTTGCCAATAATGTTCAGCTTGGTGGATGTGAGTGCTGAGTAATGGCAGGCAATCTTTGGCCAAGGTCACGGTGAATGGGATGGCTACATCAAAGGCCATAGGACACCTGCCACCTCTCCCCATCGGCAATGCCTCACCGGGAAAATTGCCCCTAACAGAAACCACGGGAGCGTCACAGCTTACCCAGAGAGAGGACGTGGAAAGCACAAATGGGAATACGCGGTTACAGAATAGGGTCAGAGGTTATTGGACACCGTGATGTGCTCTGGAACTCTTTGGAGATGAGGAATGTTGTGTTGCATGCGCTGGTCTCGTTGCTTGAGACCCAGGGTTGGGTTACTGTTGTGTCAGGGTCTCGAGGTTTGTGTAATGTGAATAGATGAAGGCTTATGTTGTGCACCTCAACACAGCTTACCCAGAGAGAGGACGTGGAAAGCACAAATGGGAATACGCGGTTACAGGATAGGGTCAGAGGTTATTGGACACCGTGATGTGCTCTGGAACTCTTTGGAGATGAGGAATGTTGTGTTGCATGCGCTGGTCTCGTTGCTTGAGACCCAGGGTTGGGTTACTGTTGTGTCAGGGTCTCGAGGTTTGTGTAATGTGAATAGATGAAGGCTTATGTTGTGCACCTCAACACAGCTTACCCAGAGAGAGGACGTGGAAAGCACAAATGGGAATACGCGGTTACAGGATAGGGTCAGAGGTTATTGGACACCGTGATGTGCTCTGGAACTCTTTGGAGATGAGGAATGTTGTGTTGCATGTGCTGGTCTCGTTGCTTGAGACCCAGGGTTGGGTTACTGTTGTGTCAAGGTCTCGAGGTTTGTGTAATGTGAATAGATGAAGGCTTATGTTGTGCACCTCAAGGTCTGTGTTGTGTGTATGTGAGCATCTCTCATCGTGCTATGCGAAAGTCTTAATGTTGATTTTTGTGGTAGTCTCTCGAGGTTTATGTTGTATACAAGCATGAAAATCAGTGATGCATTTCTTAAGGTTTCATATGTAAGTTTATCAGTGGTTGTGTTGGCATTCCAAGGTTCACGTTTTGTATGTCTCAAAGTTCGTTGTGTAATTTGATCACGTATCTTGTTACGAGTGTCCCGAGGTGCCGATTGTGTGTGTGTGTGGTGCGTATGTGTGTCTATCTCAAAGCTTTTGCTACGCAAGGCTATCAACGTTCATGTTGTTCACGTTGTGTGTGCGTCTCGAGGCTGCGCAATGTTGCCCCGTGTGTTGTGGGGGTATCTCAAAGCTGTAGGAGGTAGCCCCGATTCCACACGAATGGTCTGGCCGAAGGATCGGCTTTTCTGTTCTGCACCCGCACTAAACATTAATGTCTATGGCAGCGTTTAACGTTGAAGTCTATGGAAACGTTTAACACTGGAGTCTATGGGAGCGTGTAACACTGAAGTGTATGGGAGCGTTTAACGTTGGCGTCTATGGGAGCGTTTAACATTGAAGTCTATGGGAGCGTTTAACATTGAAGTCTATTGGAGCGTGTAACATTGAAGTGTATAGCAGCGTTTAACATTGAAGTGTATGGGAGCGTTTAACATTGAAGTGTATAGCAGCGTTTAACATTGAAGTGTATGGGCGCGTTTAACATTGAAGTGTATAGGAGCGTTTAACATTGAAGTGTATGGGAACATTTGACATTGAAGTCTATGGCAGCGTTTAACATTGAAGTGTATAGCACCGTTCAACATTGAAGAGTATAGGAGCGTTTAACATTGAAGTGTATGGGAGCGTTTAACATTGAAGTCTATGGGAGCGTGTAACATTGAAGTGTATGGGAGCGTTTAACGTTGACGTCTATGGGAGCGTTTAACATTGAAGTCTATGGGAGCGTTTAACATTGAAGTCTATTGGAGCGTTTAACATTGAAGTGTATGGGAACATTTGACATTGAAGTCTATGGCAGCGTTTAACATTGAAGTGTATGGGAACATTTAACATTGAAGACTATGGCAGCGTGTAACATTGAAGTGTATAGGAGCGTTTCACATTGAAGTGTATGGGAGAGTTTAACATTGAAGTCTATGGGAGCGTTTAACATTGAAGTCTATTGGAGCGTGTAACACTGAAGTGTATAGCAGCGTTTAACATTGAAGTGTATGGGAACATTTAACATTGAAGTGTATGGGAACATTTAACATTTCAGACTATGGGAGCGTTTAACATTGAAGTGTATGGGAACATTTAACATTTAAGACTATGGGGGCGTTTAACATTGAAGTGTATGGGAACATTTAATATTGAAGTGTATGGGAACATTTAACATTGAAGTGTATGGGAGCGTCTAACATTTAGGTCTATGAAAGGATGTAACATTTAAGTGTATGGAGGCGTCTAAGTCGTCAAGACTCTGGACCCTTGCCGATTCCCTGACACGAGACTTCTCTCCACGGGTGACCAAGCATTTAGTTCTTCCGCTCCACGACTGTGGAATTCTTTGTCCCAGGCCATCAGATACTCAGGACACCCTTGGAATTTTTGAACCTCATCTTAAAACTATTTTTTATTCGCTGCCATTTTTAAATTACTGACGTTCATTTTTTTAAGCGATTGTTTTTCGGGATCGTAGTTTTATCTTGTTTTGGAAAGAAGATGGCGTTGGGACATTTGCTGTAAAATATTAATCGTTCCATCCGCTACACTTAATCTACTGCGGCTGCTTGAATGATTTCACGCATTGAAATGCTCAAGGCCTACTAACAGTGAAGTGTATCGGGATCCTTTAAGCAACCACGGTCCCCCGAAGACAAAGGGCGGCTGCAGGTTTGACCATTGGGCGACGCGCCCCTGCTTGTAGGATCTTCGCACACGGACGTCAAGCACTGGACGTAACCTCGGCGAGCACACACCTTCACGGCAGGTGGTGTCCTCACGCCAAGGGTGCATTGTGGATTCAAATGCACGCGTCAAACGCGTGTGGGACGGGATTTCGCACATCCGAATAGTACGGTTAGGCTATGTATGGTACGGAAGATACTCCGGCTGATGCTCCTGCTGTTGTGGAGTGACTCATGCAGCCAGCTATGGCTGCAGGGTTTGGTGGAACATGTTGTTTATGTCGTTTATTGTGAAAATTCGGTCAAAGTTCATATGATCACTGTTACATTGCTTTTATAGCTTTATTTTGGGGATTTCGAAAAGTTTTTTTGGTTTGGCCACGTTTGTTTGTTGTAGTACGGAGTTAGACTGATGGCCTTAATCTAAGTTTTCTTGTGGTTGTTGTTGTTTGACTTGCATCCCACTGGGATTTTTGCACACAGCGTTGGTGTACGGTGCTTTTTCTGCAATATTTTTCTGTCTTTTCTTGGATTTTATGTTTGCAACGTCACATAGTCACTTTAAGATGTTTTCTTGTTCATGTTTTAGTTTTTTGTTTGTTGCGGTTGCACCCAATTCAAGAGCCGAATGGGCTCACAGCCCTATACCAAATAAATGAAACTGAAACTTAAAAGGTCAACATACACACCTGCCATGCTTTCCTCGGGACTGCCTCATCATATGAAGCTGGGAAATCTGTTAATCTTCCTGAGAAATTAAGTCCTGATTTCTGTCAGCCAGTTGCATAATACGACACCACTCAAGATGCGGCCCACCTTGCTCCACAGGTGGAACGTGAGGGGCAGCCCAAATCGCGATCGTCTGACTTGCCACCACGCAAGTCAGACGATCGCCCCACGTGTCACCGAACTCCAGGCCCCCGAGAGATCCGTACTGGGTGGCATCGTGACCGCTCACTCTGCCTCGCCTGAAGCCGTTTGAATGGATCGCTAACCTCGACATCAAACGCTCACTGCATGGGTGTTTTTGCTTTGTTTAAACTTAGAAGTGGAAATTCTCGGGCTGACAGTGTGACCCATAATACTTCTCAAAATAGGAGTCCTTTCAAAGTCACATGAATGTTTAAACAGTTTAGAACGCGAATACATAAGTGTCTGTTGGCAGTCAAAGGCTGTTGGCTGATAAGAGGCTCTGGGGAGAAGGAATGCATCCCCACTCGACCTTCCATCGTCAGTAAATGGAAATCAATTTTACGCTTTCGGGTGTTTTTTTAAGCATTTCGCAAAAGAAGCACGCGGTACTTACATCGCCCATTCCAGTTTTTCATTCTTAATGGAATTGTAAAGAGCCTGTGAACAACACGAGGAGAAGAAAAAACGCAATCAAAACAAAACAAAATCATCATCATCACCATCACATGCCCTAAAATAGGATTAAAACCAAGAGCTAATCTCCCAAGCCCGAGCGCTAAGGTTCAGCGCGAGTCTTCGAGCTCCACTGTGGCCATTTATTACGTGGTTCTAACGCAGCGCGTGAAATACCATGACCTTAAACATCAACATTAATCCAATGCCATGAAATAGGGGGAGCGGTGGGGGGTGTGGAATGGATAAAAAAAGTCAAGAGTCCATTAATTCAAAGAAATGCCAGCAACTACGAGGCAAAGAAATAATAAATCTAAAGGAACGTTAATTGGACGCTGCTGCCAGCCCCCCCCCCCCCCCACCAACGAAACAAAAGTGCGTAGATGTGTTCTGTTCAAGCGCAGCTAAGACCACGCGGCAACAGAAATCCGCGGGAGCCGTAACTTACTCGGGGGAAAAATTAATTTAATTGCGGGCGGTAAAGTGGGCACACTCAAGGGGAGTCATCCTCACGTAACCTCTCACCTTTCCGCATTGTCTCTTGCTGTGTGTGTGTGTGTAAAGTAGTAGTGTAGTGGTTAGCGAACCCGGCAACCCGAGTTCGATTCCTGCTCATGGCCAATACCACTGACGATTATCTGAACTGGTCCTGGGCCTCTCCTAGGTTGACTCAGTGTCAAATGACTATCTGGTGCGACGTGTAAACATCGGCACTCGGGAGACAAAGGTGGCCTGGCGTGGTGCTGGCCACCCACCCCGTCACGTGCCGTTCAGTCCTTTGTAGGTGCTCGCTAACAGCACCTCCCCCAACAGTCTGTTAAGGCTATATGGGGGGATATTTGCTTTTGTAAAGGTGCAGCCCTGCAACCGCTTGCTCACACTACTGCTGGCCTTGGTGGCAGGGCGGGCCTCCACTAGAGGGGTGCTTTCAAGAACCCCTCGAGCAGGTATATACTCTTCTTACACTGGCCAGACGTTTTGGAAAAGGTGGAATTACCCACACTACACCCCACCGCACGCGGACCTGCCGATGGACTAATTGCGGTATACCCATTAATCCTGCTGGGTGGACAGAGGCAGGGGGATTTAAAAAAAACTTGCAACATTGTTTCTACCTCTGTGCCGGCAAATTGAACTGGCGACCTCTGGATAAGCAAATCTAAAGTGCGAGCCATGACACCATGGCAGCACCCTGTGTGTGTGTGTGTATATACTGGCACAGTGGGGATAGCAGTTGGTACATCTGCCAGTCATGCAATAGCACCTGGGTCTGTCCCGTGACCTCCTGTCAGCTAACCTTTGACACTTCACGTGGCCTCAAAGTGCACAAAGGCTGGCACAAAGCGCCATGGTGACGTCACTGCCACTTCGTGTAAAATGACGGTTGTTGTTGTCCGTGATATACTGACAAATGTGATGACCTTCATTATCATCATTACCCATAAGGAATGCCTTGTAGCAGTTTTGTGTAGTGAATGTCAATTTCTCCAAAGCACAATATATTATTTTATAATTTGCAAGAAAGACAGATAATAGAAAAAGATGTATTTATCATTAGCTGTGAGCCCACTGAGACCGAACGCAGACGATCCCTGGTTTTGATCTTCCGCGAAGCTGCTCATTGTCCACCCTAAACCGCATCCACTGCTCAAACCATGGCAGATGCGGATACCTGATGCACAAATGGAAAATTCAAAACTCTCCAGTGGGCGACTGTGGTCAGCCAAAACAGACCGTATAACGTATAACGACGCAATCCCCCGATCTGCAAATACGAAGGAGACATGACAGCGATGATGATACACTACTCCGGTGCTCCTGACGTGGTTTGTCTGGACTTGACCACCTGAATATGAAATTGCAGTTGTTGCTCTACATCTACACCAGCCATATGAATGAAGATTATCTTTTCTGAGCAGAAATTAAGAAACCATGCAGTTAAGAAATGCAAGTGTGAATCAAAAGATATGCAAAAAAAATCAAAAATATGCCACTAGACAAGTAATTTAAAAATATATATTACAAGCGTAATAAATCATTATGTGCTGTTGTGGAGCATGATGGGTAATTAAAATTTCTTCAAAAAAAGCCAACGTTCAAGCATGGGTATATATATACAGCTAATTATAACTCGTAGCTATTATAGGCAATTATCTTATATCCTCAGGAAGGATGGAGCTCGCTCGGTCAGAGCGTTGAGCGGGACCCAAAACAGGAAAAGTGCTGCAGAGGACGCCCATCGCAGAGACGGAGCGATGACGTCAGCTGGTGTGCAGGTTGCGAGATGGATCCTTGCATCGCAGGACTATGAGAGATGGCAACGGCTTGGGGAGACCTCTCATCCAGCAGAGGATCGATAATAGCTCATCATGATAATGAACACACAATTGTTTAATGTTCTTTTGTTGGGTCGCCAGCATCATTCCCAGGCAGTCTTTGTTTGTGTCCCCAGTGCTTAATTTACACACTGCACCAGGCACTTATTTATGGCTGAGTCGACCAAGGGGAGGCTCAGGAACGGTTAAAACAATAGCCACTGTTATACACACACCAAACACCCACACAAAGGCTTATGATACCTCAATAAAATAGGACACCAACAAAGCCAGTTAGCAAACGTTAACACCGTGTGCATTAGAAGATTTCGGCTATTCTGGCTTTCCAGGGCCACAGCTTTCTCAAGACAACAAAACACACAATGCCACGTTCAAAACGCCGCATATGTACGTGTTCCAATGGACGCACCGTTCGCACACCGTTTGTCAAACGCGATGGCTTAAGCGAGGCACCTCGGACTGGCAACGCAAACATTTGGACACCTGCACCCAGGTGGAGTTAGATTCCCGTGTCCAGCAGGTGGGCAGAGAAAGAGGATTGCGCCACTGCCTTCCCGGCGACAGATCCAAATACGAGGCTTCTCATCGATGGCTAACCATCGAACAAAGACGGTCACTGCATCGTGCGGCACTTTCTGATGCGCTTCTGCGGCCGTCTGAATTGCTCTTCCTACCGATATCACGAAGCCACTGGAGCTATGCACTTTTAAATCATCTAGATTGGCAAACTAATTTCTTTAGAACTGTTTTTTTGTGTTTAGTTTCTTGTTCTTCCTCTGCACCTCCAATTAGCACGGTTGGCTACATACAGTGCAAAATAAGTTCAATAAAATACATACGCACACAAAGCCAACAATAACACTGCCTTAATGAGGAAAAATAATGATGTCAAATTGTGACGCGCCAACACTGCTGCACAATATTCACGCTCCCTCTAAAAGAGAGCACGACCTCAAGAGGCGCCAGGAGGAGGAACCACAGACAAGTAGAATGGCAGCAGCCGCAGCCACGTCGCCCAAGCTCTGCTGCCCTCTAAATATAAAGGTGCCACCGGTCACTTATTGAGCGCTTACATGTGGAAGGAAAGCGGAGCACCCGGGGGAAACCCACAGAGATGGAACAGGTGGGTGTTCACATTTGCTGAAACTCCATTTTCACCAACTCAATTGTCACGTTGCTCATTGGTTCAGTCTTGTTCGCTTCACTATTGATTTGTTTTGATTTTCAAAAAACGCAAATAAAAAAAATTCAACGCATATGTCGTGAGCAGAACATACTTTTAAATCGATGCATGGTTGTACGGGTAAAGGTGCAGCCCTGAAATTTCCTGCTCAGGTCACTGATCCCAAAAAGGCCTCCACTAAAGGGAGCCCTAAAGAGCCCCTCAGTACGGGATTCGGTCGACTCTTCCACGCTCGCCAGACATGTTGGAAGAGGTGGGAGTGCACACTTTACCCCACCACATGAGACCTGCCGATCGACTGCGGTGGACCCATTTATACTGCTGGGTGAACAGGGGCGGAGAGAATCAAGAAACATGCCGAGCTGGGAGATCGAACCGGCGACCTCTGGACGTGCAAAGTAATGTGCCATCCACTACGGCACCACTGAAGCATCCACCTCCTTATATTATGACTGAAAACACCTCGCTCGGATATCTTGGCGCGCGACAGATGTCAGAACCCACACGCGCACGCGACTGCCACACCTCCGCATTCAACGCTTGGAAACCAAAAGAAACAAAACGACGAAAAACGTCAAAAACAAACAAAACCGCAAACACCCCAAAACGGCGCACGCCACCGCGAGACAATCTCCCGTCGCAGACGGCGCGCCGCCGCCTCCCCCACCCCCCGGTGCCCGGGTACCTTGGCCTTGCCGTTGACCACAGAGGGCAACTTGGCGGCTTCGGAAGCGGTCGCCGAAGCGATGGCGGGGATGGGAGGCGGGCCGGAGCGCAGCGACTTTGAGCGCTGGGACGACCACTGCCGGTGCTTGGCCGAGTCCCCGCCGCCGCGGGGGTAGTGCACCGAGCCCACCGACCGCATGCGCGGCCGTGCCGAGCTCTGCATGCTGTTCACCCCGATCATCGTGGCGGCGAGCGAGCGGGCGGGCCCACCGACCGGGCCTGGGCAACCCCCGGGCGGTCTAAAAAGCGTCGACGCGAGTTCAGATGCGCCCCGGCGGTCGTGAGAACAGGCCCCGAGCGCCCGAGCTAAACGCTGTCGATTTTTTTTTGGTTTGGGAGGAGCCCCTGTAATGAGTCGCGGAATCTTGGGATTCTCAGAGGCTGTTGGAGACGCGGCTTGGTGATCTTGCGTCGATCCGTGACACCTTCAATTAATTCGTTTCAACTCTTACGCCTTTAAAATAACGTTTGGCAAAAACGTGCAATTTGTGTGTATTAAAGGATTAAGCCAACTTACATGCAAAGCACACCTTCGCGTATCAAGACCAACTGGCAATTATTTTCTTCCAGAAAACTGTAGCTGTTGTGGTCACCGATATTCGCTATACTAATTTGGGAAGAGCAAAATATGCTGCAGAAAAAAAAGACAACCAGCCCGATACCGTCGCCTGTAGCAGAACGAGCTCAGACTGCTGCTACAGCTGCGTAGGACAAACACAGCTCAATGCACAGGTGGCGAT